GCTAAAAATAGAAAACCTTTAAACATCTTCTTCTACAGAACTAATGGATGGATGATCACCAAACTTTGTCTGTAGCATTCTTGAGTAGTGTTATATCAAGTTTGCTCATATTAATTTGTTTGGCCCCTTTTATGGGCTGCTAAAGCTAAAAATAGAAATACCTTTAAACGTCTCTTTCTACAGAACTAATGAATGGATGATCAACAAACTTTTTCTGTAGCATTCTTGAGTAGTGTTTTATCAAGTTTGCTCATATTAATTTGATTGGCCCCTTTTAAGGGTCTCTAGGGCTAAAAATAGAAAAACCTTTAAACATCTTCTTCTACAGAACTAATGGATTGATGATCACCAAACTTTGTCTGTAGCATTCTTGGGTAGTCTTTTATCAAGTTTGCTCATATTAATTTGATTGGCCCCTTTTATGGGCTGCTAAAGCTAAAAATAGAAATACCTTTAAACGTCTCTTTCTACAGAACTAATGGATAGATGATCACCAAACTTTTTCTGTAGCATTCTTGGGTAGTCCTTTATCAAGTTTGCTCATATAAATTTGATTGGCCCCTTTTAGGGGCAACTTAAGATAAAAATAGAAAAATATATTAAAGAATGTATAATTATCCATTGGAAGCTGTGTGCCTTATTACGGGTCTAGTAAAATTGGTCTTTTCTTAAAAAATAAGTGCCTGTTTTTTAATGACACTTTATATTTATATTGTAACCTCCTTTAGTTTGTAGAATTTAAAACACAGCTTTGTGTGAAGTTGAAACATGTTTATTTTATATTTACAAAGAGACTGTATAGTAATTATAAGTATGATCAAATATGAAATTTGATGAAAGGGAAACAACCTATGTTAGAATGTCTTTCATAAATGTGATCTGTTACGCAATTATTCTAAGCTGGGAGTAATGACCTGTTTGCTGATGAAATTATTTGAGGTCATGACCAACGGGGAGAGAAAAGTTGATATTTACAAAATCACTTGAACATAATGATAAACAACACACTTTATAGTGATGATTTATCTTAAATGTTTTCAGAAATAGGTAATACTTAATTGGCAAGGTAGTATACAGCTATATTATACAGTAAATGTTTTTTTTCAAGTTTGAATACTTTCACATTTAATCAATTATTATGCTTTGTATCTGAACTGTAAACATATCTGCACATAGTTTTTCATTTGACATGCTAAAATAAAACCCTGATCCTAAAACTCACTAGACATGCACTATGGCAAAGTTCAATGGTATAGAAAAAATAAAGTTCTGATTTTTTTTACAAATGCAATCTTGTTAAGCATAAAATCTGCCATAGAATTTGGATACACTGATTACATCAAAAACTATCTATAGGGTCATTGGTAGGTCAGTGAACAGAATTTTTCTCCAGGAAATAAAATTAGGCCAAAAGAAAGATTTTATTTTCTGCACTTTAATAACAAAGATGAGTTTGTATGCTCATTTTTTTATATTAAATTCTGTTAAAATTGTTTTTTTTATAATCTTTATTGAATTGGATTCAAACTTGGAGAAAGCACATTTCAATTAATTTCGGAAGACATTGTTGAACCTTGTTTCATGTCCATAGTTGAAAGTTGATGTCAGTTGAGATATCAGATATCACTTATGTGATTTTTTTATGTATAGACTTTATGTTTGGACAAGGGTTGTAATTTCTGATGCTGAATTGAATTTTCATATCAGCTGACCTGCTTTGATTTCTTTGATATCATTTGACCTACTTTCTTGTTTATTGACATACAGACTTGTTATTTGGATAAGGGATGTAATTTGTGATGCTGAATTGAATTTCTTTTGCTGACCTTCTTTTGATATATTTACATTGTTTTACCTATTGTCATTCTTAGGTACAGTTATATTAACATATAGAATGTATAAAAACATTGTTACTTCAAACATCTTCACCTTACATATTTTCCATGTGTCATTTTGTGTATTCATTCATAAAAGTTAAGAAAAAAAGTCCTATCAAAATTACCCCTGCTCTATTGGTCAATTATTCTGCATTTATTCTACATAGTCTCATAGGAATACACTTGCAACATAAATATTTTTGATAAAGCCTTTCCAAAATATTAGAAAATATTTTCAGTTTATAAAGTGGACAATGAATGGTGGGCCATATGAATGATCTACGGTCATCTTGGCCATATGGTTTATTATGAAGGAAAAAAACAATCAATGCTGTAAAGTATATAGCTACATGGGCAAGTTAAAGTTGAGCTTTCTAACATTAAAAAACAGTTGTTCCTGGTGAGCGACTAAGGGCCATCATGGCCCTCTTGTTTTGTATATTTGGAAATATTTAACACAGACGTGCTGTGATACATTATAACACAAATAGTGGATAATTCAGCTCAAATTGACAACAATAAATGACTTTTCTTATATTTTCATCTTATATTTTGACTAAATCCGTTGCTTTTAAAAAGTCGCAAGTCATGAGTTGTGATTTTTAGTTTAACTACGTCTAACATAGCGCACTAATAATAATGCTTATAGTTTTTCATAAAAATGATAATGGAAATTGTAGTATTATAATAAAACAAAGTGTTTATAAAAAACAAAAAGTCATTATTTATATCTATACACTAGATGGAATGATTGCGATTATTATTTATATCTCCCGCCTGCTGAGCCCAATCGTCATGCTAATTCAAATGTCGCTTGTTCAATCCTCGGGCGAGGCGAAAATTCTCAGACTGAGTGTAAATTGATTTCGGACTTATATTTTGATTAATTGTCTCTTACCACAGATTCAAAAATCATGGGTCACTTGCCCAGAAATTGGTTATTTCTAGTGAATTATCCGGATAAGTCGGTTATAAGGATTGACCGTCGATGTATGACTAAAATGTGTTAAAACCGGCTTTAAAAAAGAAACAGAAAAAATATTATGCAAGCTTATATGTTTTAAATTTGTAGTTATTGTAATGGAAAAAAAGATCAACAATAAAACAAAGGTGTTTTTATATGAAGAACAATGAGAGTCGTTCCGATGATTTATTAGTATGAATGCTACCATTTTAGTAATGGATTGAAACATAACAATTCCATTATCACTGAACTTATCATTTATTCAACTTACAACAAGAGCCATGTCAACATGGCCATCCCCCGCCGAATGTGTTTGCTCATTGGAAGAATGTATATGTAGTAGAGCAAAATAATTCCATTTTAAGAGGTCTTTTGGTAATGAAAACTGATGGCTATAGTGATTACAGATTTGAAACCTATGTGAATACTGATGGCTGAAAATAACAAAGGGCAATTACTGAAAAATAATGCAGGGTAGGTTATCATTCTTGTGTGCTGCATCCCTCCTCAGTAAAATCTATCCACCTATGAAGTTTCAAGTTGATACCTCAAATACTTTTTGAGAAAAAAATTGAATTGAAAAGTTAAGTATGAAAAAGATCAAAGGGCAATAACTCAAAAATTATTAAAGGTAGAGTTATCATTCTTGTGCAGTGCACACCTCCTGAGTAAGATCTATGCACCTATGAAGTTTCATTTTGATATCTCAAAGGCTTTTTGAGTTATGCTCTGGACAAAAATTAATTTTGAAAAATAACAAAGGGCAATAACTCAAAAATAATGCAGGGTAGAGTTATCATTCTTATGCAATGCACTCCTCCTCAATGAGATCCATCCACCTATGAAGTTTCAAGTTGATACCTCAAATACTTTTTGAGATAAGCTCTGGACAAAATAGCATGAAAAAAAACAAAGGGCAATAACTCAAAAATTGTATAGGGAAGAGTTATCAGTCTTGCGCACAACATTCCTCCTCAATAAGATCTATCCACCTATGACATTTCATGTTGATATCTCAAACACTTTTTGAGTTATGCTCCACTCAGGTGAAAAATTAGGTATGAAAAATAACAAAGGGCAATAACTCAAAAATTATGAAAGGTAGAGTTATCATTCTTGTGCACTGCACACCTCCTGAGTGAGATCTATGCACCTATGAAGTTTCATGTTAATATCTCATAGGCTTTTGGAGTTATGCTCTGGACAAAAATCAATTTTGAAAAATAACAAAGGGCAATAAGTCAAAAATCATGCAAGGTAGAGTTAGCATTCTTGTGCACTGCACTCCTCCTCAATGAGGTCTATCCACCTATGAAGTTTCAAGTTGATAACTCAAATACTTTTAGAGATATGCTCCGGACAAAAATGTCGGACGGAAGGACGGACGGACGGACGGAAGGACGGACGGACGGAAGGTCGGACGGACGGAGACTATTTCTATATCCTCCGCCGAAATTTTTCGGCGGGGGATAATAACCAATTGAATATTTGATACCGTAAATACTTGAAAGTAAGACTATTTGATGCACCATTTTAGAAATTTAAAATGATATAATTGATATTTAGGTATCGTTACTTTCCTAATTATCAATCGTCATAGAAAGTAACTAGAATGTATAATCAATAATAAAAATATTGTACCCCGGGACATATCATTTTGATATATTCTGATGTATATCCCATCAGCATTTTTTTCACGTCTAAATTGTTTCTAATGCAGAAACCTTAATGATTATGAGGCATTGTTATTGTACTGTAGCATTGGTGATCGTTGTTTTGAGAGCAGCGTACCAGAATCTTATCATGTTACATATGAGTCTAATAACAGGTAAAATGTTAGACACGAAATTTGTGGATTGAATTATTTGTTTTCTTTTACATAAGAAATATTGAGATTTCTTTGAATAAGTGTCAAAAAAATTGTTACTGTGCGCATGTCGAGGAAATGATCTTTTTTATTTAAAAATAAAACTTTAAAGACTAAGTATGGGACGTTTAACTGTCTTGTTTCTTGTTGTTTGTTTGTGTTATTTGTGTATGTTATTCGTTGCCCTTCGATTAAGGATTCTGTAATGAAGACATTAGTCAGTCAGCAGTTAAGAGCATGATCATACTGCAGGAATATAAATCTTGCCTGGATCTTTATACATTTGGACGGTGGTTAAGCTCTTGGCTGGTAACAAAGGCTAATAACGTCTAATTCCATTAGTGTACGTTTAATATGGGAGTAAAATAAAAAGATTTATCAATTTATGGCCAACGATATTTCATTTGAAGGAAAGAAATGTTGAATATCACATTTTATGCTATTTCTGTCAATACCCCCGTGAACATTAGGCGACTGTGTTAAAATGCGACAAAGTCTCTGCATAAATCTTATAAGAAAATGGCATAGTTTGATGCATACACTTGTTCCTCTTCCGCTTAATATAATAAGGTCCTGGATGATTTAAATTCAAGCATTTTTTCCAAAAGCTTTCACTTGTTACTACAACATGTATAACGTATTCATTCTTTTTATTCCATTGAACATACATTTGAAATTTAAAGATAATTTCATTGGAAAATTTGATTTAATATGAGGTTCATCTCACTGAGATACTAAAATGGCACCTTCACACTGCCATTTCCATGATCAATCATATTGCCTGTCCGCACTTTTTTTATCATATTATGTCATTTACTTTACGATACACAATTTTTTACCAACGTAAACAAAATTTAAGGCACATTATACATCAGCAAAGAGTTGATATTTCCTTCTTAAACAAAGGGCAAACATGAGATTACTAAAATTTTAAATAATGGTGACTTCGTGCTGCGCATTGTCTTTGTCAGGTGGACGTTTGAGCTACTTTTATGAACACAAATCAATTACTTGAAGTGATATAGTATTAGTTTATAGTGTTGACGTCTCCGGGTAAATTTATAAATCTAAAATGTCAGTCGTACTTTGAACGTTAAAGGTATCTCAAATTAGAAGACTCAAGTTAAGCTTTGAGCATTATACGCGTAATGAGATAATAAAAGATTTGTTAGGCAAAAGTCACAAGATGTGTAGGTTTATGACTTAATATCGTTACAATCGATATTGTTGTGAATCCGGGTCCTGACTTCCTTATCGAAACGTCGCCTGCCAGTGCCGTCACAACTATGACCGGTAATAAGCCATTTGATAAAAGATGATGAGCTTGAATTGTCTGTTTTAATTTAATAAATTAAATATTGTTCGCTCTCTATTACTTTATCCTCTATTACATGGAACATTTCTTTACAGTCATTTATTAATTCTTAAAAGCTCTAAGAATATTATTGAGGTGTTGTACTTGACATATAGTCTTCTTATTGTGAATATGTGTGCCTTGTTATTTTAAAATCCTGAAGAAGTTCTTGATCGGACAGAAAATATACCCTAAAACAGACTATGTTAATTTTTGACCACAAAGTGTGACCTTGAACTTGAAGGTAGGGATGCAGGTGTTGTGTATGACACATTGTCTTCTTATAGTGGCTATTTGTGGCAAGTATTTACAAACTCTTTCGATCTATGAAAACGTTACGGACTGGACACAAAAATATACACAATAACAGACTGTGTTAATCTTTGACCTCCAAGTGTGACCTTGACCTTGGAGGTAGGTGACCGGTTGTTGCGCATGACACATTGTCTTATTATTATGAACAATTGTGGCAAGTATTTACAAAATCCCTTCAACAATAAAGAAGTTATAGACCGGACACGACATATACCCTCAAATAGACAATGTTGACCTTGAATGAGCAAGTGCGACCTTGACCTTGGAGATAGGGGTCTGGTTTTTGTGCAGGACACATCGTCTTATTATAACAAACATTTGTGTTAAGTTATTTCAGATTCCTTTGATAAATGACAAAGTAATGGACCGGACATGAAAGTGTTACGGACGGACAGACGGATGGACAGACGGACGGACGTTCCTACGAATGGGCATTTATTGGGTATTTCTTTTGTTTAAAAGTACCCAATAAGACAACAAAAGTACCGAACAATACTGACGGAATGAATAGAATTACCCAACAAGTGTCCATTCGTGTGTTCAAGGTACCCAACAAGTGTCCATTCGTGCGCCCGGACAGACGGACGGACAGACGGACGGAGCCAATTTCTATATCCCTCTTTTTTTCTTTGACCAACATATATAAATGGATCAAATAAACGTATTAGCAAGATCTTATTTTATTTTCTGACATTTATCAGCGTTCTTTTCTTAAATGTGTCCAGTTGATCATATATCTGAGTTTTTGTTGTTATTTAGGTAGTTAAAAGGAAAATATAATTTTCATTGAAACGTTGCAAGAGAAAGATAATCTTCTTCTGATGTATACCTGATACAGCTTCTATGTTTAACTCAAAATAATGAAACTTAAAAAAAATGTTGTGTCTTCGTTGAAAGAAACATATTGTGTAAAGCAATAACAAGTATTTTTTCAAATCATATGGTAAGAATGTATACGCTAGTAACAGAAAGAATCTAGATAGATAAATTAGGTTTTTTTTGATAACTGCTTTCTAAATAACTAGCTATCATTTGCAGTCTAAATATTTGCTTCTACTGTTTTCGCTGTTTGCAAGTTAGTGTGAAAGTAAATAATATAAGGTGAAATTAAAAAAAAAACTTTTGAATCTTTGTTACAAAAAAAGTTAGAAATGAATAAAGAATTAATATTAACGAACATGTAAAAAAAGAATAATTAAGCAATGTCATTGTTCGTCTATCATATAGACTCTAGTTCATTTTTTTCACTGTCATTGTATTATACTCTAAATAACATAAATAGAGAACATTCTTTATTTTGTACCGATCTTAATTAAAATCTGCTAAAACTAATAACAAAGTAATATTTCGTATCAACACATTTTTGTGAAGAAAATTCCATGATATAAACAATCTAGAGACATTGTCACTTTTCACGTTGAAATCTTTTCCTAATGAATATTTCTCCGCCAATGGTTCTTTATTTGAAGCCTCCACATTTTAGGTTTTCGTACATATTTACATTGTCAGTGGTATCGTGGGTTTGAAGAGCTGGAAAAAAAATAGTAGATTTATTTGTATATAAGGTGAAACGTTTACAAAAGTTAAACAATTATCAGATTTTGTTATGACAATTTTGCCTCAATGCGCATCTTGTCAAAACTAAAACTCATATCGTTGCAAAGTGTTTAGACAATAACAAAAAAATGTGTATAACTATGTTAAATACACTTGCTACTATGCCTATGATTTCAACAGATTATGAGTGCAAACAGACCGATTTTCAGTCAGTGACCCGGGGCCGATAACTGATAATCATAATCGGCCAACTGAACATGAATACGTGCACAAACTGAAACAATAACGTCATATTTTTTGTCATCAAAAAAGCTACCTGTAAATGTGAAAATAGGATTGAAGCACGAATAGCTTTATTTTATAATGAGAACATAGCGTTTTTTCTACAAACACAGCTTTAATGAATTTTAAAAAAAAAATACTAGATACAATTTCATTCCGTGAACATAATTAGAGCTTCTTGATTCGGTTACATTCACATAAGGAAAGCAACTCTGGAGAAATTACAGCAGAAAGTACAGTTGAAAACTACAGCATCGCAATTTAAATTAACGAAATTTCAAAGTAAATTTTAGATCTATCAAGTATATTGATGACATTAATACACGTCATAGATTGGCCAGAAGGTGATAATCAGCTCTGAAATGAATAATGCCCTCGGGCTGAAACCCTCGGTATTCATTTTACAGGCTTATTATGACTTTGTATTAATCTCTTATTTCTGTATAACGCATTATCTTTCTATACATGTATTGCATAATACAATAATACTGGGAGCTGTTTCCATGTGCTCAACATATCGGAACCGTATTTTGAGTAAAATATACTAGGTAAATGTCCATTGTATTTGTTTGAATTTGAAACAAATCGTACTTACCTATATCATCTCTTCCATTTGGAAACGGATTAATTCGAGCATCTTTTTGTTTGGTATTTAGACTGTCATAGGTGTCTGACCTGTGAAATATTTGTATGATATACTTCTCGTTAAAACATGACGTAACTATACCTTATTTATTTAATACTAAATGGTATACATTTTGTTATTAAAATCTTGGATTTAAATATTATATTATTAGTCTGTAATTAAGTTTCACGCCCATTTGATCTTACCCGGAGTCTGCATTCTAAAATTAATCATTATCTTCAGGTCGCAATGAGTTAATAACGATTACTGCGTTATTTTTACATACTAAGACAAACTATTGAAAAAATTAATACTGCTTGTTGTAATCATACTACGAATTGAAATGTGAATAAACTTTATATTAATGAACATCCAGCAATATATTTGTGATGTTCTTGTTTGCGATAATGTTAAACTAAAATATTGATATTTTCCATGGAAATCTACACCATGTACATGACTTGGCCCTTTCTTATCTTTTCCGGGGTTTTATATATCTATATAGATATTCTAATTTTAGTATGAATCAATAAACAAATATAACTTGGATACATACGTGTATTACATGGCAAGTATTATGTATATTTCTTTTCAGCATTACAGTACAGGCGTTTGCATTCATACGAAATTTAATATTTATACTTTTAAAACGACTAAAGAAAAGATTAATTTGTCTACAATTTTATAAAATCTTGTTAAGTAAGGCCGATGCTGAGGTAAAATTTGCATAATCCTTAAAGAAATTATTATATTAATAACATATATAATATTAATAACATATATAATAAAAAAGTATAGCTTACGTGTTGGAATCTCTGAAACCTGTGTAATGAAAAAAATAATTGAAAGATTTCTACAGCAATGTAAATGATATGTTTAAAACTATTTTATTTAATGTTGTTGCTTTTCAGTATTTGATAGATTTGTTCAATATTAACTACTGGTGTTTTGCTTCATTTCAAGATTTAAACTGAGGTTATTTCCGTGTTCAACCAACTTTAAAACAGTAAAGCGTCCAGCTATGTTGATCATATCACGATCCTAAGAACCCTGGTTATTATAGGTTGTTCAAGGCGTTCACATTTTGAGGTTTTTACTTTTGTGTTAAGTAGATTTTGTTTTTATTATTACAATGGATAGTTATTCTTTTTGATTATTCAGGAGAAAATATAATTCTAGGAGTGTTAATTATCAAAATAAAATCAAGCTTAACGTGCCGGAAAGAAATATAAATACTTGTAACGTATCAACTATACTACCCTACTTATGCAGATTTTGATCATTTTAGACCTTGTGCTGTAACACATGTAATGTTATAACGATGGAATTAATCTTGATGAGGGATAAAGAGTAATGTCTTCGCAGCCGAAGCGGGTATTCTTTTTTTAGTCCGGTAAAATAAAACATATATTGGCTGTCAGGTATCCACCATTTATTGCATAATTCTGCGTTACGTTTTGCACGAATCGTGCGTTATTTTCACGTTCAGGCGTTACTTGGTATACACGGTGTAATATAAACATAACAAAAAATGCAAGGTTTGACGTTGACACGACCCGTAGATGGGTATTAATATCTGCATTTTAATGCTGCATGACAGTATTAATCCAGATAATAAAGTTTGACACTGGGGAAAAGTACCAAAATATTCTGTTGTTGTTATACAAGTGTCATAGGAGATATGTTACATGATTGTATTGAGAAAAAATAGCAAAAATGCGATTCCAAAAGTCAAAGGATCATGAACAGTGGGTGGAATTGGAAACATCGTTAATGAAGACAGACATCAAAACGTTCTCAGTATCTCAGAAATTTACACAGTTGAAAATTGAGTGTGCTTAGAATTTCAAAAGACAATATATGTATGTTTCTTATAAGTAGGTGGCTTGACATTAAAAGAATATCCTTCACACAGGTGATAAATTGAAAAGGAAACACATTAACATAATATCACATAAAGAAGTGCCGGCCGCATTGCGATATCATGTAATCTTATCATTTGTTCGGTAAAATCAAATTATATGATATATTGCTGTTTTTTGCATGTTTGCTCAACAATGGTGTACTAATTACTAGTAAAATATTTTGAAGCCCATTGAGTATTTTGTATTGCAAGACTTAGCAATTTATTAAATTAAAGTAAGTCCAATAACGTAGATGGTACTATGCTGCTTAAGTTAACATAATTATTTAAAGGTTTTGAAGAGTCAGGAAACTAAAAGAAAATGATTATTTATTCATGTCTGATTCTTACCGTGTAAGACTTCATACGGTTCTTGGGATGTTGTATCAGACCGTGATGTTCTACAAAATATAATTGAATTACAACAGTTACTAAATTATTTACTTCTATACTAGTATGATTTGGTCAATTGAATAAGAAAGCAAATAGTATCGTAAAGGGTAAGATAAACGTTCTTAAAATTAAACACAAGACTCCCCATTTATAGCCAAAAGTAAGTGTTCACATTCACTTTTCGTCTTCTACACTATGATAGTGAAAATACATATTAAAACGTTTTTAATTTGTGAAATAAAAATACTTACGATTCATATATATTTCCATTAGCTTGCTCTATTTGGAAAAATATATAAAACATATAAATGCTTTTATAACATCTACCGTATTTATTTTTTTTTGCTCAATTTATTTAGGTGCTTATATACCGATCTACAAAACATGGTTAAAAGAATGTTTACACCATAACAAAATGTTTCATTTTTAGTCACAAATGCATTATGTTAAAGTTTAATAAATAGGCATTAATATTCTTAACGATTAAATCACCACAAAATTCTTTTTCTTACAACGGGAAAAAACTTGCATTGAAATATGTCACAAATTTACCAGATCGAATTCACTTGTACATATAAATAACCATACAAGTTAAGCATACCTTTCGCCGATTTTCTTTTCTTCCATATGAAAAGCCCGATGCAAATAGCGGCAGCAATAAGTACTACAGTTATAATGACAGCGACAAAAGTTCCAGTTCTGTGAAAGCGATTTGTAGCCTGAAACTCTAGAACACCATGTTTTACTGACATTTTTGCAGTGGCATATTGAATTCATACTTTCTGTATATGTTATTAATAAAAAATGTTTTATAACAATTTAATACTGTATCTAAATAATCATTTATACCCCATAGTTACCAGGCCAACCAGTTCTTACTGGCTTCCATTAAACTGTACCGAAGCTTTGAAAAAAACTTACCTCTTTCTATAACAAATGTTGTTGCTAACTCTGTGTATCCTAAACTCCCTATCGCATTGATAGAAACAATTCGAGCATTATATTTTTCTGGTGAAAGACCCGTTATATTTGCGGTATAGAAAGTACTGTTTAGTTTATATTTACTGTCCACCTCGCTAACATTTAACAGATTTGTCCATGTTTCTGTACCCACAATCGAGGTTTGTATGATAAAATATTGTTGAAGTCCTCCATTAAAGTCTTTTTGCCACACAAATTTTAGTACGTTTTTTTCTGACAGTAACTGTAAGAATTTAGGTGGCAAAGGTGGACCTGGAAATTTGAAAAAATATCAATTGGCATTATAACTATCACACTTTCATAATATAAATGTAAGCAAAGCCGAGAATTCGTGTAATTGTAAATCTTTCAAACTGATGCATACCTATGATACAATCCTTTTTGTTTTGATTCGATAAGACGTTTTTTGAAAATGTCAGGTAAATAATTAAAGCGAAGGAAGAAGTGTTGCGTATTTAAGCAAAAGGTGACAAACAGCTGCATTTAGCGACAGAGTTGCTATTGTTACTGTATAGAAGCATCCTTGTTCCAATACATAATGCTCTACAAAAAAACCTGATTAGGAGTTTATTATTCCTACGTAGGAGATACAAAAGCCTTATAAGGAGTTGAAATCTCCTACATAGGATATCTTTAATTTCTTCTAAATGAAAATCCTGATGCAAATAGAGATAAGTTCAACATTTATAATAAAACTGACTAATGATGCTTTTCAACTCCTACATTGGTAAACAAATCTCATTTCTCGTAATTGAAAATCTTGTTCATGTGTAAATTTGTAAATTTAAAGAAGTACCTGCTTTTACAATGTCTCGTGATAGAAGCGTTAAATATGTTTCACACGTTCAATACACTGAAATTAATTCACGATTTCGAAAACAGGAAAACTTCAAAAAATGGATATGCTTATTTATTGTAATCCAGTCATGTAAATAATAACATCAGTCATGTGTTGCATTTCAGCTCGGAATAGCCGCCCCGACATTCCACAGGGGAACCGTTTTGCGGTAAAGAGGCTTGTCGATGTATCAATTAACATGTGCCATCATTGCAGAATCTTGTCTTTTTCATATATTTTAGTCGGACACACACAGACATTTACATAAAGTATTGTAAGTATACAAAATTTGGATATTTTGGCAGGGGCGTAACTGAGCTATTTTGAAATGTTCTCCTTAACTAGGGGGGGGGGGGGGTTCGGGGGCATGCTGCCCGAGAAAATTTTTGAAAAGAGAAGCGATATCCTGGCATTTCATGACTATCTAGAGGCTATATTGACAACATATTGGTGATGATTTCAAACTCTTTTTATTTATTTTAAAATATGTAAAATGAACAAGTACGTATTTATACCATAAAACTTTTCTTATATTATAATTGATATTTTTGCAGCACAAATTTGTTATTTTGCAACCTTCAAACTGATGTTATAGGAACAAATCTCCCGTATTCAATAAATTTTAAACTAAAACAATAAACAAACAAACAAAAACAAACACTAGACGTCTGTTTTGTTGGTATGCAAAGTTGTCTACTCGCCCTTTTTAAACATTTATGAGACCTAGGCAAGACATACGCTCAGTGTCTATAGTACGTACTTCTGACGTTTTAGTTCAGTTGTTTCCGAAAAGACATGACCACTAAAATGTTAATATGATTTTTTTATATAATGATAGAAAAATTAGTAGGCCTATATGAATATATGCTGCCCAGACCACTCTACCCCCTCTGTTTTTATCACTTTTTTAGAACTTTTAGCGCATGTGATTTTTCGGAATACAGGATTGATTTGTACGCACGGGCGTACAGGAGAACGCCCAGTTACGCCCCTGTTTGGTACCCCTAAGCATTAATTACAACAAAGTTTGCATACCAACAACAATCAATAATACTGTATTCCTAGAAATGTTCGCGGATACAATCTTTCGCGTTTTTCACAACGTCGGCATTTTCGCGGAGACAAACTTTCGCGAATTTGTAGTAACCGCGAATTCAGCGAATATTAAGTCGCTACGGCCTAAATTACAGCTTTTTTAGGCTACAGTATAAACCTACATGTATTTGATTTTCCATTTATGAATGTCACATAAATAATTCAGCAATTCATGATTGACCTTAAAGTCTATAAACTAGAACAAGTGTATTACTCAAAGGTAGCAGGAAATTTCCCGGTTTTGTTTTTTTGTTTTTTCCCCAAGTCCAGACGTCTGGATTTATATAACGGTTATGTTGTGCTACTTTAACAGTATTGGACTGTACATCGCTTTCATTGTAACAACATAACATCTGTTTATCAATGTAGCTATTGTACTTTAAACAAAGGATTACAACTTCTCCAAGCAAATAAGATCCAAGTCATTTAATGTACGCAAACTGTAAATGCTTTGTATACACTGTGCCTAGCAAATAATGTGAATAAGCGTGATAATTACTGATAATTGACATGTTTTTTTTTTGTTTTGTTATGTGCATTATAGCTATATTGAAATGTAAATATGGATTACAAGCTAAAACATGTGGTGGTTTAGTAAGGTGATGAACTTTACATATTAATTTCTATAGCACCTGTGTTTATATGTTATTGTGTAAGTAGATTATAATTAAATAAATATAAGAACATTTTTGTTTTTATTTCGTTGAAGCTAGAAATGTTCGCGGATTTGTTATAAGTGACATACTCGCGGCTATAAAGATTCGCGTAATTATGCCTACCGCGAAAAGCGCTAACTTAAAATGCGCGAAATCTTTTCTAGGAATACAGTATTATAATCTTATTGATTGGAATATAAAGGTGGTTTAGAAATACAATGTAATACATGCAATATATACAATAATTAATCAGGCCATAAAGGTGAGTGATAATGTTTGTAAATGAATCATTTCTGCTTACCTTCTGCTATCACATTAACAAACGTCTGTGTTGTATCAATAACATTTGTGATTTTGAATGAATAATTTCCGAAATCTTCTTCCCTTGCATCATTCAACGTGAGATAAATTACATTCCCTTGCAGTGTTACATCTTTTCCATAAAATTGTGTCCCTACAGACTCATCCATGACAGTATACATATCACTAGAAATAGACTGACCATCATATCTTATTATTTCTATAGTGTCAAATACAGGATTACTGTAAATTGGGATTTCAATATTTATTGCGTCTCCCGTTGAACCAGTAAATCGAAGATCATCTCTAAGTATCTTCGGGGAAACTGTAAGTCAAATTATAATGATAAACAAATTTACTGTTAAAATTGGTATTTTAATTTACATTCCCGTCAATGCATATTATTACGGAAGCGCCCAAGTGCCAATTCATAATGTTCTTTAAAAATAAATCAAAATCAGGAGTTTATAACTCCTATGATGGACATGCAAAAGCCTAATTAGGATTTTAAAACTCCTACACAGAATTTTGTCATTCCTAGGTAGGAGATAAAAAGCCAAATTAGAGAGTTTTAAACTTCTACGTGTTAGCTCAATAGGTAGAGCGCTGGTTTTTGAATCGGGCGACCGGAGTTCGATTCCCGGACGGTGCAGGTCACTTTCGTTGTGATTGATCATGAAATCTTGTCTACGGTCATTCGATTGGACCTCTGGCCTTGCATGAGACGTTTCAGTTCCTTGCAAAATTGAAGCCAAACATACTTGCAAACAGATTGACAGCTTATCCAGGAAATGTGCGGTGTCTGAACTGTGCTCTGGTTAATTCAAGAAGCTAACTGCCGTCATCCGGAGTGAAAACTACCAATACCAACACCACAACCATCTACGCAGGACTTTAAACTCCAACGTAGAAGATAAGAAGTCCTAATTAATTAGGAGTTTGAAATTGCTACGTAGGACTTTGAAAACTTCTACGTAGGAGATTTAAAACTTAATTAGGAATTTACAACTCGAACGTAGAAACATCGGTCATCGCACCGAGTAGTGCCCCTTATATAATGAAGCAGCAGTTTCAAAGTTCCACGTAGGAGTTATTTAGTCCTTCGTAGGAATTTAAAATTCCTAATTAGGATTTTTCATCTCCTACGCAGGATTTTTCAAAATCCTACGTTGGAGTTTTGAAGTCTTGCGTAGGAGTTATGTTTTTTTAATCACCTATGTAGGGGTTTAAAAGTCCTAGATTAATATGAAATGGCAACAGGACGCTTCCGTATATTATTACTGCTGGGTAAAGATTATAAATGATAATGATGTACTAAATCTAGTCTTTATTATTTAATTCATGTTCTATAGTCCGGACTTGGTGATTTGTATATATTTTCTTTGCATGTTTTATATTTTAACTGTCTATAATGTTAAATAATGTTGTAATTTAAAGAAATAGTACTAAGAAAGTATTGCATCAAAATCATCCATAAATACAATAATTATAAGACGCATTATTTGCAAGTACTTCCAGTAACGAAAAAATATGCAGAAGGACATCAAGAAAAAATCATTGATGAGTAAGAACACATGATAATAACATATAAACTTGTAAAGAAAAGGTAGGGCATATTAAACGTTAATTTTATTAAATTATCGCAAATGTAGTTTTTTTTTATGGAATTTGCATTCATAGACGATTTCTTGGACGTCAGGTTCATGACCTACACAAGACATATTCAAGTACAAAACGTTTTTTAATTGTTAAATCAAATTTTAAACACATCACAAACTCGGACTGTGCAAATGTACCAAGCAAAGCAATTGCTATATGACTAGCGGGTGTTGATAATCAAAGGTCGCTCAGCGGAATTCTACTTCCTTATTATGATAATTGTAGTTGTGATTTATTTAAAAAATAATATCGGTCTTAGGGGTGTTTATCGACTTATTTAACACCAGTTGGAGTTTTGATGCGTAGGAATTGACCACGAAGGTCGTAGGCCTGACTGGTTATTTTTTCGCATCAAAACGACGAACCCGGTATTAAATAGACGGTAAACACCGCTCAGACCGACATTATTTCGATTCTAACAGGATAAAATAAAGACAATAACTTGTGTTATTTTTTTTCAAGCGGAAATATCTTACGTTGCCGACTTTCGTATAACGCTGTTTGATTTGGCACCCATTGTTGCTAAGATATATAAATTCTTAAACAAAAGAAAAAAATAAGAAAAAAGGTTATCTTATCAATAAAAACTAACGTCTAAGAATGGATTGTATTGTGTTTATATATAAGTGCGCAATTTGTTTAAAATGACGTTAGCGTTTATGAATGAGTTGTATACTTAGGATGACGTCATTACGCTTATAACGGATTGGCGCCGTTTTGTCAAAATATTTATAAATGATAATGATCAAATCTGTGGCGTTACTGTATGTGAGATATTATTTCGGTATTGCATAAAAATAAAACATTATAAGAATTGAAAATATGAATAAAATCCTTTTTTATTTTTGCTTTAAAAGTCAACATACAGGCTCTGCGCTATATAATATTAAGTTGTATCGCTTCTCCGTGTAGAAATCAATTACATAGAGGATACGTATATGTTTATTAAGTAAGACCGAAATATCTTTCACTGAGTGATTATCAAATGGAACAGTTTCATTTTCCAAAGGGACATATTTTTTATATCTATTCCGTGGTTTTTGGTGGTTTTCCGCGATTTTTACATATGTTTAGGCATAACGACATGCGCACTTATATATGATGTCATGAAATAATGACGTCACGTTGCTCTTGTTGAAAAATAATTCTTTTAAACTTCACGAATTCTATAACACTTATAAAATGATGTGTGCTGGTTTCCATGTGCTTCTTGTAATCAAACACATTTGATTTTATGACAGAATGTATTTCTGACCATATTTCATAATGCTATCTTTTCATCTGCATTTAAAAGTAGTCCGTTTGTTTTGAGTTTAACGTCACATCGACACAGTATAGGTCATATCGCGACGTTCCAGCTTTACTGGTGGAGGAAGACCTCAGGTGCCCTTCCGTGCATTATTTCAGGCACGAACGGGCACCCGAGTAGAACCACCGACGTTGCGTAAGCTAGCTGGATAGCTTCCTCACATGAAAGAATCCAAAGTCCCTGTCGGGATTTGAACCCACAGCGGTGAGGGGTAAGTGGTTTGAAGTCAACGACCTTAACCACTCGGCCACGGACGCCCCAAAAAAAGTAGTCCGGCTACTATGAACATTATTATTATTCAATTATAAAATCAAAATATAATGTCATTGTCTACTAGAAAAACATGTCATAAACAAAATTAACCAAATTAACCCAATTGATCTTTAAAACAAACAAGTTAACTTTATTTATGAATATGACATATGTACATATATATTTAATGAGGCAAATTTAACAATAGATGTACGCAACGTATATGTTCATTTATAGTAAGTGGTATTATATCTAAAACAATTTCATCGTTGAATAGAAATAAAAGTGCGGATTATCAAAATATAGTGGCGGATTTTTTCATTGATGCTAATTAGTTTATAAATAAATATCTTTGTGTTATCTTTAATAAAATATTCGAAACAGGTGTTTATCCTGATTCATGGTGTAAGGGGATAATTGATACATAAAAAAGGTGATCATGATAATCCCTCGAACTACAGGGGCATCACTTTGGTAAATTGTATGGCAAAAATTTTCTCGTTAATATTGCGCAATAGAATTAATAAATGGTGTGAATCAGAAAGAATTTTCAGCGATATTCAGTTTGGTTTTAGAGATTCGAGATCAACCTCTGATGCTATTTTTATTCTTCATTCCATAATTCAGAAAGTTTTAGCAAAATATTCTAAACTCTACTGTATTTTCATTGATTATGAAAAAGCTTTTGACACAGTTATAAGAGATGCGTTATGGATTAAGTTGTTAGATACTGGCATTAGTTGTAAAATGATAAATATGCTAAAGGCAATTTATTCGTCTGTAGTGGCATGTGTAAAAATTAATGCTTTTATGAATATGTCCGAATTTTTCGACGTAACTCTTGGATTAAAGCAAGGAGAGCCATAATCTCCCCTGCTATTTATTCTTTTTTAAATGATATTGAAAAATATATAGATATTAACAAAATTTCGAATAGCGACCTAGAACTCTTGTCTAAATATCTGCTACTTTTTGCAGACGATATTGTGCTTTTCACTACAAGTCCAGAGAGCTTGCAAGCTCAAGTTGATAATGTATATAGTTATTCGTCTAAATGGGGGCTTAAAATTAATGTAAATAAAACTAAAGCTTGTGTTTTTGAAAGAAGGAAATCTGTACATAATTTTAGTATAAACATTGAGGGTCAGTTTGTAGATATTGTTGAAAATTTTTCATATTTAGGTGTAAAATTTTCTTATACGGGTAGCTTTTCTGAAGCAACTAAGACTCTTGCATAGCAAGGCCTTAGAGCTTATAACAGTCTATTGGGTATTTTTGACAGGATAAAGCTATATGTTAAAACTAAACTGCACCTTTTTGATAGTCTGATAACTCCAATTCTGTTATATGGTTCAGATGTATGGGGAATTTACAAATATAAAGATATTGATAAACTGCAAATAAAATTTTATAAATATGTACTTGGTGTGAAAAAACAAACTCCTAATTGTGCTGTCTACGGAGAACTTGGTAAATTTCCTTTGTCAATTTTATGTAATGAAAGATCTTTAAAGTTTTGGAATAAAATTGTTAATAATCAGCATTCGCGTATGTATAGCATGTATTAAGATCAATGTGTTAATGGAAATAATAAATGCTGCTAGGCAAGCTCATACTATTATCAATGAATTAGGATTTTCATATTTGTTAGATAACTATGATGTTATTTCTGATTTTAGCTTAATTTTTAAACAACGCCTTAGAGATCAATTTATACATAATTGGCACGAGCAAATAAATAACATGCCAAAACTCTTTTATTTTAGGAATTTCAAGTCAAATTTTTGATTTGAGGAATATCTAAATGTAATCCAAAATGACAAGTTAAGAAAACATTTGACATGTTTCAGACTTGGTTCCCATTCTTAAGAAATTGAAACTGGCAGATATATAGGTTTAAACAGAAATGAGAGAATATGTAAACTTTGTACTCAAAACATGATAGAATCAGAATATCACTTCCTGCTTTGTTGTCCATTTTATTCAGAACTAAGAAAACTTTTTATTCGTAATGCATCTTTTCCTACACTGAATAAATTTTATTATATAATGTCATCTAATAATTAACATAGATTATTACTGATAAGTAAGTTCTTGGACAAAGCTTTTGATTTACGATCTAATGCCATGGAACAAATGATAAATAGACGAAATTAATGACATATTATTAAAACTACTTTGTTATTTGTTAATTTAAAAACAAATACTGATATTTGAAATGTTTATAAATGTATCTTGTAGTTATGTGTGCTATATTTCAAGATCTATGTATGTATATGTTTTGTATGTATTGCCAAAGGCAAGGATTTGCCGATTTGCAAAAAAAGATTTGAACTTTGAACTTTTATTCAATTGAACATAGAATGCTTCATGCGTTACGAGGGTAAAATATTATTTTGCAAAGTAAAAATACAATATAAAAAAATAAATAAAATTAAATTAAAACAACAAAGGGGAAATGTAATTTTTTTTTAAAAACCTATGATATCACTATTACACAAAGATGGACATACGGTCACTTAAAGGTAAAGTAAACCAAGAAATGGCATAAGAAGAATTTGTCACAGAATAACCAACGTCTCCTCCTCAGGGAAGCTTTATATGAAGCATAGAATTTTGCTATTTAAAAAGATTGAGGTAGGGATCTCAGGACTTTCAGTCCAAAATTATGATCAATGCTAGATCTTCACATACAAGAATAAATTTATTATAGAAATAAAATGATACACGAAATTTAAAAATCTATCACATTAAACTTAGACCTCCGAGTATGACCTTGACCTTTGAGGTAGGGGTGCAGGTGTTATGCATGGCACATCGTCTTATTATTGTTACTATTTGTGCCAAGTATTTTCAAAATCCCTTTAACTAAAATTAGTTATAGTTTGGACACAAAATATACTCTATAAGAGCCTATGTTAATCTTTGACCTGTAAGTGTGACCTTGTGCTTGACATATCGTCTTATTATTGTGATTATTTGTGCAAAGTATTTTTAAAATCACTTGATATTTGAAAAAGTTATGGAGTGGACACAAAATATATCATATTACAGACTATGTAAATCTTTAAGTGTGACTTTGACATTGTGGGTAGGGAGACAGGTGTTACGCATGACATATTATCTTATCATGGTTACTATATGTGCCAAGTATCTTCAAAATCCCTTGATCTATGAAGAAGTCATGGACGGGACAAAGATATACAATATAACAGACTCTGTTAACATTTGACGAAATTTAAAAATCTATCATATCAAACTTTGACCTCCGAGTATGACCTTGACCTTAGAGAAAGGGGCGCAGATGTTGTATTTGACATATTGTCATATTACTGTGACTATTTGTGCCAAGTCATTTTAGAATCCCTTGAACTATGAAGAAGTTCCAGATCTGACACAAAATATACCCTATAACAAACTATGTTAATTTTTTAACTCTAAGCGTGGAGGTAGGGGTGCAGGTTTTGTGGATGATACATCGTCTTAATATAGTGACTATTTGTGCCAAGTATTTCAAAATCCTTTGATCTATGAAAAAATTATGAATCACTGTTCAGACACAAAATATATCCTATTACAGACTATGTTAATTTTTGACCTCTAAGTGTGACCTTTGCATTTGGGTAGGGATGCAGGTGTTGTGCATGACACATTGTATTATAATAGTGACTTTTTGTGCCAAATATTTTCAAAATCATTTTATCTATGAAAAAGTTATGGACCGGAGACAAAATATACCCTATAAAATTGGCTTAACCCTGGTGTTTATATTTTTACTGGTATGTATACAGTTTAAACTTTAAAAAAATCTTCTACTCTAAATTGACAAAGACTAGAAGTTAGATAATTAGAATAAAACATTGTGTTGTAGACATCTCTCAAAGTTGTTAAAATTATAGCACTAGGTTCAAAATGTCTCCTTGCCCGCATAAAAGGGATGAGTCATTAATATTCATTATAGACATATAGTAAAAACTTTTATAATTTTCTTGTCTGAAGGGGCACGCGATTTGCTTTTTAGTATATAATATCATCTACAGGTCCTTTACCAAAGGTGTGACCTACTTCTTGTCCTTCGATAAATAGCCATGAAATTTAGAGCATGTGCATAGTTTTAGATATAAATCAAAACAAGAGCCGGTTCAACCGGTTGATGTTCCCCGAATAGGTTTTTGACACATGGAGGTATACCTCTTGTAGTGTCACAGACAAGTTCAAAGTGAAAAATCAACCAAAATGTTGCGCGCGACACGTCATCTCAATATGGTGATCAATTTTGTGAAATAGTTGTAAAATCCGACTTCAAATAACAAAGTTATGGGCTGGACACGATTTTGCTGCAAGGTCATGGTGTGACCTTGACCTTCAAAGTAGCGAACCAAATGTTGCGCGTGTTAGTCAATATGGTGATCATTTCAGTGAAATTGTTGTAAAATCCGACTTCATATAACGATGTTATGGGCCGGACACGATTTTGCTGCAAAGTCAGGCTGTGACCTTGACCTTCAAGGTAGCGACCCAAATGATGCGCGCGACATGTCGTCTTAATATGGTGGTCATTTATGTGACATAGTTAAAAAAATCCGACTTTAAATAACGAAGTTATGGGCCGGACAGGAATTTACTTAAAGGTCATGCTGTTACCTTGACCTTCAAGGAAGCGCCCCAAATTTGCGCGTGACACGTCGTTTCAATAGGTTGTTCATTTCTGAGAAATAGTTGCAAAATCCGACTACAAATAACGAAATTATGGGCTGGATACGATTTTGCTGCAAGGTCATGCTGTGACCTTGACCTTCAAGGTAGCGACCAAAATGTTGCGCGCTTCATGTCGTCTTATTATGGTGATGATTTCTGCGCAATTTTTGTAAAATCCGACTTCAGGAAACGATATAATGGGCCGACATGAATTTGGAACGTACGTACGTAAGTACGGACGGACTGACGGACTGCAGCGACTATATGTTCCCCCGAAATTTTTTGGGGAGCATAAAAAATAAGACTATTTGCACAGTTTAATAGAGGATATTTATTTGTTTTACATGTAAGATTAAAACATATTTCACTGAGATATGCAATATTTTAAAATACAAAAGCTTGTATTCAAGAGAAAAAAATGAAGTTTCTTTCTATTTCATTTTTGAAGTGATTTTTTTTGTATTTTTTAGTGATTAAGTCAACATCGCACACTCTCTTTTATGACGTCGTCACATCATGACGTCACATCATCAATTTTGAAATATACTTATGTTAAATTTATCTTATTTGTAACAATTCAAAATTACGTATGATGGCATTTTTGCCTGTTATGCTATTTTGTTACGATATTCTTTTATCCGCATTCAGATATAGTCAAGCTACAGTAAAAATTATATTTTATAATTTTGACTAGTGGTTTATCAGAATATCATTATATAACAGTAAAACACTGGAATACATGGAATAAAGATGTTAAAATGAACTTTGATACCAGATGACTTTTATTTCGATGATGTGACCTACATTCTTGTCCTTTGAACTATGTATTTTAGATTAAGATGTTAATTAAACTTTGATTTAAGCCAACATAGATTTTCACTTAGTGACCTTATTTCTTGTCGTTTAATGTAAACCTATGAAATGTGGACGATGTTTACAGTTTTAGATGTCAAATTGAACTTTGATATTAGCTGACATAGATTTTGACTGAGTGACGTACTTTTTTCTTCAGTTTATGAACAGCTATGAATTTGATATCAACTAACCTAAACTAACTTGTAATTGTTACAGTTTATTAACAGAAAGAACAAGAAAACGACAATGTTACTCAGAAATCTCCTGGACGTTTTCCATTGGTTATGCCTTAAAGCATTATATTACTGAAAAGAAGACCCTCCAAACTCGTACATCATGCAAATGGTTTCGCCACGGTTGTCTCGTAAATATTCTGGTTTTTGTTTTTTGTTGTTTTTTTACGAAAATTCTTACATTTTATATACAGAAAGAACAAATCAACTGTCCAAGATTATCTAACCTCGATTAGTGACTTACATAGGAACTATTGACTTTACATGGCAAATATAGACCTCTTTAGCAACCAGGGACTCTCAAAAGCAACCAGCGTCTTTCCATGGCAAACATTTCCGAAACACAAATGTGCAATAAACACAGTACATGTATAAACAGACTTTGATAAGGAGGGATAGCGTGACACCTGTTCACCCTCCTACTGCCCTACACACTCGTCCGTGTACAAACATGCGTGCATGCACGTGCACACATACACACACTATGATATGGGGAGTTAGTATGTTTACTGAATAAATTAAAGGAGTTTTTAATTTATTGACGTTAAAATATCTTGAATTTACCTTGAACAATGATTGCTCTCCTGCCACTTTGGTCAAGTATTCCTGATAGGTTATATATTCCATTGTTTAATGTACATGTGTATGTCCCTGTATCGTCAAGTCGGAGTGATTTAAAATAAAGAGAGCTATTCTTCTTTGTATTTTCTACTGCTGTATTGTTATTTGGTATAACAACATTGTTCGAGCTTTGAATTAAGCTTGTGTAGATGTAACTAGATGGTACACCATGTCCATTACATAATAATGTAAGACTTTCTCGTTCTTTTACACTTGTCGTTGACAGACTTATATTTACATCAGGGGCATCTGAAAGAAAGACACTCGGTGACAGTGTGAAATTTAGTACCTTTACGCCTATCAGTCTATATCAGTCGAATTAGTATCATCATCCTTTTTTAGAGTAAGTATCATTATACTTTTTAATTAGTAGATTTCATGATAGATGAAATAAATGAAGGCAAACCTTTGTGTGAAAGGACAAATAACAAAATATGATAAACAAGATCAACAAGGAAAGGCGGCGTTCAATGAACGCAACCCAAACACGATCCAGCAACTAGAGCCAGCGGCAAGGAGCCCAGGAGGACTCCAAACAAAACAAGTTTTCATTGGCTTATATGTATTTAACGTTTAAATACAAAACAACTAATTAGATAGATTTCTGTGAATGGAATATTTTTTTATGTTTTTCATTCATTTTTGAAGTTCTTTGCATTTTCATTCTATTCGACATATTTAAATATTTTAATCCTCGACATATCGAATCTACAATGAATTATGACACCTTCACCTACAAATTGTCCTACTGCCACATATATTTTAGACACGCGTTTCAATTATTTCGCAGAGCTAATATTGTAAAACCAAAACTATTATTCTTATTGGAGACTGTTATTAACAAAGTTTAGTGCTCAAATAAGAAAGGTGTTCCTACGTTTTCATCTATAAATGCACTTAATTGACAAACACTTAACCATATATATTTTATTTTATGACTTGTCTCATCTCTCCACTTATGACACATTGACAGTGTATGTAACGGTCATAAAACGACTTAAAAAGTTTTAGAGGTTATTTAGTGCTTTTCTTACCACATGTCGGCACTTGAGTAAAGGCACTAGTCGTATGCAAGCTAGTTTGGTTACATCCTCACATGATAGATAGGAATTACGTCAAGTCGGAGAAAGGGGTGAGTATCACATTGTTTATCGTCGAACACTTTAAGGCCCAACAATCATTTCGTTATTTAGCATGTATAGCTATAATAAATAGAAAGCTTCATTTTAGGCGCATTGTCCTGTCATACTCGTAATTTACTCACTTTAACCGTTACATTTAAGGGTATAAATCTATATCTTATGAACTATTTTTATAAACTTTATCAACAGTAAAATATATTGGTTCCGGTATTATATATGTATTCCCGAATAAGTAGTAACATAGAAAGTGAGAAATAAGGATCCCAAAAGAAAGCCAAACACAGCAGAATTGAAAATGTTGCAGGCTCGGTTTGATTGAGCCTATTCATGGACGGTACTGGTAAGTGCAAACTACCGTCCACGACCCCTACAGTGTAGAAATCTATTTTTAGTACTGATGACCCTAATCCAGCTGAACCAAACTCTATCCAACTAAAGAAAGGTAATTTTTCTTTTTATGTTCCTACTAAATTTAAGATATTATTTAATAGATCAAGGTAGCACATGGAAAAATTTAAAAATACATTTTAACATTATTTACCTTAACATTGACCTAAATGACCCCTAACTAAATCAAATGAAAGATTAGCCAACTGTCCGTATTAGACATGAAAGACATAAATCAAACAACAACCGGCTGAACCGAATGATGTTCCCCGAGTAGGTTTTGGACACCAAAAAGTATAGCTCTTTGTTTCAGAGTTATGTCCTGTTCAAAGTGTAAAAATGAACAAAGGGCATAACTCCAAATTGAGCAAGGCAGAGTTAAGATTCCTTTGCGATGTACTTCTATTCAATGAGATCAATCTACCTTCAAACCTCTTGTGGTTTCAGACCTAGGTCTCGGACAAAAATTCTAAGTCAAAAAATTACCAAAGGGCAATAACTCCAAAATTAGGCAAGGTAGACTTATGGCTCTTTTGCACTGCACGTCTATTCAATTAGTTCTATCTACCTATAAAGTTTCATTTTGATATCTCTTATAGTTCAAAGTGTAAAATAAATAAAGCGCAATAACTCCAAAATGAGGCAAGATGGAGTTATGAATGTTTTGCCCTGCACTTCTTCCCAAAATAATCAGTCTACCTACAACGTTTCATGTTGATATCTCTTATAGTTTAAAGTTATGTCCGGGACAATGTTCAAAGTGTACAAATGCACAAAGGACAATGACTCCAGAATTAGGCAAGCCAAGATTGAGGTTCTTTTGCACTTCACAACTACCCAATAAGATCTATCTACCTACACAGTTTCATGTTGATATATCTTATAAATTTAGAGTAATGTCCCGGACAAAGTTCAAAGTTTAATAATAAACAAAGGACAATAACTCCAAAATTAGATTAGATAGAGTTATGGTTCTTTTGCACATAACTAACACCCAATGAGACCTATCTACCTACAAAGTATCATGTTGATAACTCTTATAATTTAAGAGTTATGTCCCGGACAAAGTTCAAACTGTAAAAATAAACAAAGGGCAATAACTCAAAAATTAGGCAAGACAGAGTTATAGTTCTTTAGCAATGCACTTTTACACAATGAGGTCTATCTTCAAAGTTCCATGTTGATATCGCTTATTGTTTCAAAGTTATGTCCTGGATAAGAACAGCGGACGGACGGACAAAGAGGCGACTATATGCTCACTCTTTGGGGAGCATAAAAAGGCTGTATGAGCTTTATGTTTATTAACATTATTTGTTTACTACAATGGCATTGACCTTGACCCTAGTGACCCCTTAATCCACAAAAGCTAGAGGACCATTGAAGGTATCCATCTACCAAATATAGAAAATATCATTAAATAAACGCAGTTACTAGGAAACATTAAAGATTAATCCAACTTACCAAATAGGTTAACAATACAATGCCCTATTTTAAAAGTGATCAAAAGGCAAATTAATGGAAAAAATAGATGGCGCAAGTATATAACTAGGCAATATCCTGAACTTTGTAAAGATAAATAAGTGTGGAAATTATGAAGGCAATACTATAAACAGAACTTAAGATATACCCAACTTGTCGATTAAGGTTAACCATATCTATTTTCAAAGTGCTGAAAATGTCAATAACTTAAAAAACAGGAAAGCAATAGTAATCTTACTTGCCAAGACCATATACTTTGTATTGAGAAATTAAGGTGTAAATTACGAAGCCATTTTTGCAGATAGAACTTAAGAAAACTCCCAACTTGTCGTTTTAGGTTAACCTTGTACGGACGGACGGCCCAATTACTGTTTACCGGTATATATTCATATGGTAAAATTGATATCTCATTTAAGAAATTAAATGTATGCCGATTTTTGAGTGAAAACTCTCTCAGACAACATGAAGGACGAAATCGTCAAGATTACCTTTACAAATGTGACCTCTGTAGGCATGTGGCTCTTTTCATATACTTGTACAAGCGTCATACCTCTGCACGCAAGTATGAATGTCTTCGTTGACAAGTTTGTATGTATTACAAAAGAGCCAAATGTAGAAATTTATATTTAATGCATTTGTCAATGGTATAGGAACGGAAATACGATTATGATGAGATGTTTCCATGTTATTTATTTGTTTTCAATCCTATACCTTTAAAGCAGCACACCTCCAGATTCATGTTAATTTTCTTGAAATTTTGAAAATGTATGTAACAGTATATAATTGTAAAGTTACCAAAAGAATGCAATTTACACATTATCAATGGCACTTACAACCTAGATAAATTACTATAAAGAGGTCACAATATGCAAAAATAGCCATTGCTGCGTTAGTCAGTCATTAATCCCACATAACATGAAATTTTTACTAAAATTTTGAATCTTTATACCTTTCCTAAAATCTTAGTACATTTTTCCCAGGTTTGATTTTATCAAAATATGTTTTCTTATCTGGCGTGCAACTTTAACCATATATCAACATGATAATTATTTTAAATGATTTGTTTCTGTAACAGTCACTTTAATACCTGAATGAAATACGTTTAGCACTTTCTTTGTGTACGTTGTGTTTCAAATCATGTGAAATTTTAAACGATTATCCACTACAGCATTCATATTTTCGTTCAGAATAGTGTGGCTTAAATTAATGTGTTTGTGATGATACTCAGAAAAAAAGCCAATTTACTACATATGTCGTTAAGGGTCATCATGCCGATGTCGTCCATCATAATTATTGTTTGGATGAAGAATTCAACGCCAAATCGGCGTACGTTCATGTTCGAGTTTCATAAATAAATTTGCATCTATGAAAAAAAGTAAATCACCTCGAATCTTTCAAAAATGTATAATCAATTTGTATTAAAAAAAGTTGTATCTTTTTTAAGTTCGAGTATGCGACCAGTTTATCCAATTAAGAAGCACAGACTGTCTCGGAGAAAGTGTACGCAGAATCTAGATTTTTTAAGTGTGTACGCAGTATCATAATTTATATTTTCTGTAAATACTTCGTACAAACGATAAAGAACAAAGATTGAAAATACATTATTGAAATTTATTAACTTCCAGATGGTTGAAACTATCAGTTTAATCGACATTTTCTTATTTATCGTAACATTTAAACGCCAGGTGTACGCAGTTTCTAGAATCCAAAATCGCATTTAACGCAAAATACTGTCGAGAAAAGGAAGAGTTGTGTCAAGGTATTTGGATAATTTAAACTTGAAGTAAGGACATCTTCTTTGCAAAAGAAATAGGTTTTATACATGACCATTTTTTCTTCCAAGTACCGGTTAATAAAGTGTTCGCGGTATCAGAATTTTGAGAATGCGTCGCATCGTATCATCTCTTTTGCCAATAGGATACAATAAAGTACCCTACCCTTCCTAAATCGGACGCAATGTTCATCCAGTAAAACAATTGTGCGTTTCAACTTTTACAACACCTCATCTGACGTTATAAATCGAACAAAAATAAATACATGATAAATAAATAATCGTGCAAATCTAGCAAGGAAGATGAACATAGCAAACAGATCCACTTCTGCGTCATTCGTGTGCCTGTATTCACGGGGTCTATGTTTACTAATTCCCTCGCAAATGACAGCACCCGTGTGCTATATATATATATATATATATATATATATATATATATATATATATATATATATATATATATATATATA